GCCACTATTTAGCTGTGCAACCTAAAAAAAAGTATTTATATTAAAAGTATTTTGAGGGCTGGAGACATGGCTCAGCAGTTAAGAGCACTGACTGCTCTTGCAGAGGACCCGGGTTTGATTCCCAGGACATGGCGGCTATGAACTGTCCTTAACCTCCAGTTCCAGGGGAATCTGAAGCCCTCTTCTGACCTCTGAGGCATTGTATGACATGGGTGCACTCAAATACATGCAGGCAATACACTCATACAAATAAAATAAAAATAATAAATAAAATATTTTAAAGTATTTTGAAACAATCATTGAAAATAAACTTGCAACATTGGCTTTTTTTTTGTTACTTTTTATTTACTTAGTGCCTGTGTATATATGTGTCCATGCCATGGTGCAAGTGTGGAGGTCTGAAGACAACTTGTAAGAGTCAGTTCTGTCCTTCTGCCATGTGAGTTCTAGGAGCTGAACTCCTGGAAGTGCCTTTATTCACTGAACTATCTCACTGGCCTGAGATTTGTGATTTTTAAAGTTTACTTTAAGTTTTATTATTTTGTGGGGCTGAGGAAGTAACCCAGGCACCTTACTCATGACAGGCAAGCATGCTCCCACTAATCTACACTCTAGCCTGGCGACTTTAATACATGCTATTGGGACTGCATGAAGGAATAAAGAATTTTACTTTCCTTCTGTGATCATGCACACCAAGACCTTGCCTAAGTACCTTTATTTAAAGACAGAAACACCATCATCATGAACGAGCTGAGTCTGAATGTAGCACAGAATGTGGGTGTGAAGGCACACAAGCCAACCGTCCTCACAGACAGACGACCTGGCTCCTCCAGAGTGTGTGAGGCAGAGGAGGGCTGCTCACAGCCTTTGCCACAGCCTACATGAATGGGCTACCTCCTCCCTGTTAAGGAGGACCACTTTCATTCGCAGTGTGGCTAACTCTGTCAGTTCTAAGCGTGCCGCCCCTCATTTCATTCTTAGTGCCTGCATGCCTGCAGCAGCTCCCACAACCAAAGCTGAGAGAGCCTAGAGCTAATGTGTCTCAGCTGACGTGAGGTGTGTAGGTGTGCTAGAAACTCTTGCAGCCCCAGGGTAGCGAGATGAAAAACTTGCCCTGACTTCCCCCACTTCAATAACACATTTACCTGCACTCTGGCCCAGGGGTGCAGGCTCCCCCACTGAGCAAGAGCACAGCAGGAGGAGGGCATAAACAAAAACACAGAGGTCTTGAGAAAACATACCTGTGCACACCATGACCACCTGGAAAACAAGCCCTTCCTTTCCCAGGAGGGAGAGGGCCAGTGGGTGGGAGAGATAAAGCACCATTATATCGCAGGCCTATCTGCCTCAACCCACTCTTTGTCAGGTGGAAAAGTTTAGTTACTAAATGGCTCCTTGAGTTCAGTGAGTTCATTTTATTTCATTCTGCTTAGATTTTTTTCCCCCACCGTGTCCTTTGGTGATGGAGTTGGGAGGGAGACCTGACTAAAGCAGGCTTGGGGATGGCTAGCTCAAGAAGTCAGTTGTCTCAGTGATTTCTCAGTAAAATACCCAAGGTCTAGCATTTCTGCATGGAATGAAGCAGTGAAATGCCTGTAGGTTTAGATATAACACTTCAGTATCACAGATGGCTAGCTACCTTCCACAGTGCCATCAGTTAGTCTCTTAACACAGTGCCACAACACACAGCTCATTTAAAATGCTTGACCACAAAAGCAGAGTTCAGAATCTGTAATCCAAAGTGCTCAGTTACCCAACCCTAGTCTAGGTATATGCAGAGGTTGTTCTCAGTGAGGAAATGAAGTATACCCCCAAAGACAGGCTTAGTCTCTAGCTGGTGGATTTGGAAGGCTCTAGTCAGTAGATTAATCCCTTCATGGAGTCATAATATGACAGCATTTGGGAGAAGTTGCAGAAAGGAGGAGGTGGGGGCTAGGCAGAAGAGCAGGTTACTGGGAGAACCCTGGAGGCAGAAAGGTATATCTTATCCCCAGCTTTTCCTCCCAGGGACTGTCTCACTCCCCTATTCTCTGCCATATGCTCCTACCACCATGACATCCTGTCTTGCCTGCGACCCAAAGCAATGGATCCAGTCAAGCCTAGAATGAAACCAAAATAAATCTTCCCTCCTTTAAACTTTTTTTACCCTCAGATGTTTGTCACAATGATGAAAAGGTGAAAAGGCTAACAGGCTAAGTCTTAAAGGAAGAAAACCTTTCAAAAGATTTTTTTTTTTTCCAAGAAAACATTTTACATAGTAGAAAAAAATTTCAAATTTTGTTTGGAAGGTATTTTGTAAGTATATTTTGCCTCACATTGTTCTTACTTTTATTACCATCATTAAAAAAAAATGCTTAAAGTCTTGAAAGATTTTATTTTGGCCCTGGGTAGGTGAAAGAGACTATGCCCACCCCACAATTTTAGGTCTTTCCTTGTTTCAGCAACACAAGCTAAAGGAGAAAAAACAATCCAACACCTACTAGAGGTGGGGGAGTCATGGAGTAATCTGCTGCTGCACAGCATGGCAACCAGATGTGGCAAAATACTTTCTAACAGTGCAATTAAAAACCATACACTCTCATTGTCCTCTTAAATTCATGTCAGAGGACCATTTTTTATCTCCTCCTGTTTGAAACAGCAAAACCTCTGGTTCTTACCAAACAGAGGGAGAAAGTAGATTACACTTTTTATTAACTTCCTAAAAAGTATGATTCACTAACTGAAATGCAATGATCTTAAGTACATCAGTATATTGCTCCACATATAATATTCATACTTCAATTTGAAGGTGAACCTTCCAAGTCCTCAATTATGTTTCCCATTCCCAATGGATTGCATTACTGAATCACTGAATTTTCAGTTATCTAAAGACTATTCCCAGGTTTGAGATACCCAGTCACCGAAGTAACACTGGATTTTTGGCAGTGATCTATCTTACAACTTTACAATTATGCATATTTTAAGAATATATATACACACATACACACACACACATATGTGTGTTTTAAATTTTGTTTTTTATTTTATGCGTATGAGTGTTTTGTGTGCATGTATGTAAATGCATCCATGTGTGCAATGCCCATGGAGGTCAGAAGAGAGCACTGGATCCCCTGGAACTGGAGTTAGAACCTTGTTAGCTATCATGTAGGTGCTGGGAACCAACATTTGGGTCCTAAGACCAGCCAGTGCTCTTAACCACTTAGCCATCTTTCCAGTGCCCCCCCACCCCCCAATCGGCTTTTTTGGTTTTATGAAACCGGGTCTCACTATACAGCCCTGACTGGTCTGGAACTCACTATGTAGGCAAGTTCCTCAAATTCGCAGAGATCTGCCTGCCTTTGTTTCCCAAGTGCTGGGACTAAAGGCATGCAGCATCACGCCTGGCTAAAGCATATATTTTTAAGAATTTATTATTTTTTTAAAGTTTTTTTTTTTTTTTAAATGTATGTTGTATCAACATGAGTTTATGTGCACACATGCATACAAGTGCCTGTGGAGGTCAGAAGAGGGAGGGCCTCCAATGTCCTGTAACTGGAGCTAAAAACAGTTGTGAGCTGTGATGTAGATGCTGGGAACCCAACCCAGGTCCTCTGCAAAAGCAGTAAGAGTTCTTAACTACTAAGCAATTTCTCCAGCTCCATAACTGTGTATCTTTATAATAATGTAACTCATACCAAATACACATTCTGAGATCTATGTAGGAAAAGTTATTTATATACATATAAAAGCCAGAGGAAGAAGTTTATTTTGAGAGGTAGAATTTGCTCAGGCAAAAGGCAAGCCTGAGCTTTTACTGGGAGTTGAAGTATAAACATTTTGGAGATCCCCTAAAATGTCTGGCACAGTGTAACAGTCGTCTTTGTTCGAGAGTAATGGCTTCTATTTTTAGATTTGTGACACCCCTGGGTGTCTCCAGATATCTCCTGAGGTGTTGTAAAATTCTCTCCACAAAGTGCCAAGTAAAATAATTTAAATTCACTTAAAAAATATGCCACACATTTGGAGGCAAGGGAGGAAATCAAATGAACAATCACAGGATTTCAAAAGTTTGATCCTTGTCAATTATATTTAGTCCAAGGCAACTTAAGAACAGATATAACAAATACAGGAAATCAAAACAAGATGAGATGGTCTACATGTGGGGTTTGTGGCAAAGGAGATGGGGAAGGAGGTGGTTAACTGAGGATACTACTTTAGGAGAAAACATTTGGCCCTATTTACTAACTTATTCAGCATTTAATATGATCTGGAAACCCAGTTGAAGGCTTCTCTCTACCTATTTGCATGAAGACACTGCAATGCAGAGCACAGGCACTGGACTGCAGCAGGGTAAGCTTAACTTCATTTTGCCACCTTTCCCTTTAGTTTTGACTAAAACTGTTAACCCGATGTTGTAAGATTACATGGGGGGTTATATAGCACTGTTCTGCAATATTTAATTCTTAACTTCCTTGGTCACCAAGAGGTTAGTAAATAAAGCACCGTTGTGGGTTTGCCACTGGGAAGCCTGGCTTACAGCCACTGTGTTTACTATAGCTTCTAAATCTCCAATAAAGTATGTTTCCTGATGGGCCACTGCCCCGGGCTTCACAGTTTTCTTTATTCAGAACACCCACTTCAGTCACTTGATAAATCTGAACGTGGATTTCTTTGAGAAGAGTCACACAGAACTGCACTTACTAGATAGCACTGGAAAAACTCACGTTTTTCTCATTAAACAGGACTGCCTTTTCTCTCTGGAGAACAAGATTTCAATGCTTACTTTCTATTCTTACTATCATTGTCTATTTAAATTTAGACCCACATTTTGCATTCTGGAGCAAATTCCTTACTAAATAATTTTAATTTAATCCTTTATATCAACTCTATTAGTAACTTTCCAAAAAGACATAAAAATGGTTCCTTTAAACTAGATCTTTACAACACATTTCAAAAGTTGTCTGAAGAATCAAACATCTGAAACGTACAAGCAGAAAGCAAGAGAAAAGAAGTCCACTTGCCTTATTTGTAGCAGTAGCACTGGATCCAGGGACCACAGGCACATTCGTCACTTGGACCGAAAGATAATTATTATCTATGAGTGGCCAGGCCCCTTCCACTTTGCATGTTTGGAAATGATCCTTGAAAGTTCTAAGGTGAGGATCTCCGAACAAGCCACAAAAAAGGTAATTGGGAGGGCTCTGGTCCCCTCCCCTGTGTTCTCTGACTCCCACGTGGCTGTGGTAGTTACAAGGGTCATGGGTCACTTCTGGGTTGGTAGAGGATGTGGGTCCATCCTTGGAACAGTTCCTCTGGCTCATGAGGTCACTGATACCTAACACAGCAGAATGGTACACCAGGTTGCCACGGCAGGCTTTTGAAGTTTGCTGGGTGCAGCCGGCATAGGCACGAAGAGCCTTGCAAAACTCAGAGTCAAAGCCATCAATGGCAGAATTCAGGTGTGAAGTCAGGGACACAAAGTCTGTGGTACATTTCTGGATTCGACATTGAGCTAGTTGTTGGCAATCACCTATGGGAAAGAAGATAAGAGTAAATGTGTAAATGCTTCATCAATTCCTGAGCTGCATGAGAAAATGCATTCTCCTCTGGAGCCGTCCACCCTACTTCCTATGCTCCTATTTTAAGCAACCTTCAGAAATAGGGCTGTACTGTGTACTCATGCCTCTCAAATCAGGCCACTGGGGGAAACACTGGGTGCAGTTAACTGAAAACTTTGTGAGTGAACACGATTCTAGTCTAGCAGTATTGCAGGTTAAAATTATAGGTGAAATATTTTATCATGTTTGCAATTTGTTTATAGATTTTGACAAAGATTCTTCTGCTCCAACGCAAAGCCAAGACATTAACTGTTTTGATTTTTAAAACTGCATGAGTAATTTGCTTTGGAAAGCACTGGAGAAGCACTGAGCACAAAGTTAGGATTAAAGCTTACATACACACCCAAAGATGGGTAAAAACCTAAATTATAGTATGATTAAAACATCTTTACCTGATTTTTGTATGGCTATGGGGTAAGAATATCAAGGAAAAAAAAACACCCAGTACTAAGTTATTCTACCTTTCCTGGGGCATGCTGCTAAACAAACCACATCAACAATCACAATTCCCTAGTTTCTACAAAATTTAAATGCTTTATTAGAAAAAAAAAAAAAAAAGGTGATACATTTGACCAAGCGCTTCCTTTACTTTTCTCTTAACATTTATCTCTGCCACACTAAGGTCCCAGCTGTCAAGTAAATCACAAGCACAAGTAAACTAAAAAAAGTATGCAATATCAAAACTGCATTGTAATTGTGAACCTAATCATGTTTTTCAAAGAGAATCAGAGAACTACAAAGCAGAAGATTCCCGGTGTGTAGACACATATAAACCTTACAACCTTACACCACCCCCAAACTGACAACTCACACCAATCTAACAATTTAAACAAAGCTAAAATGAAAACCCAAGTATGACTGCTCTGTATTTAAAAAAAAAAATCAATCTCCAAATTATGTTTTCTGCCACTTGCGTCTTATATAACAATTTATGGAAACTCAAATCACAAAAGAAAACAAAACAAAACAGCACAAGTACTGCCAACACTAGGTCGATCATGTCTGCCAATCAATCTATCTTCTGTCCCAAAGTTAGACCAGACTTACTGAAGAAAAATACTTTGGTTATCAATCTCAAATTGTATACAAATGAATTGTAACATATAGTTGTTCCTTAAATTTTCTTATAGGTCTTTATGGAAAAAGTCTTAATTTCTTCAAGTCTTACTAACTTCCCCTTCTAAGGAGGTTGATCTTTTTAAAATATATTTTTTATTATTTTTATTTTATATGTATGAGTGTACTGCCTTCATGTATGTAACTGCACCTGTGTGATGCCTGCAGAGGTCAGAAGAAGGTGTTAGATTCTCCTGGAACTGCAGTTATGGATAGTTGTTAGCCACCATGTGGGTGCTGGGAACTGAATCCAGGTCTTCTGCAAGAGTAGCCAGTGCTTTTAACTGCTGAGCCATCTCTCTAGCCCCTGATCTTTTAATGTTCTCCAGGCATAAAATGCCTTGTATTTCATATTTTAGGTGGAGGAGGGGAATCAAGATCACTGTATCATTCTTTACTTTTGTTTTCTGAGATAGGGTCTTACTACTATATAGTCCAGGCTAGCCTTAAACTTGCAATCCTTCTGTACCAACCCCCTGAAGTTTTAAATTACAGGCGTGTGCCATCATGCCTGGCTAAAATCAGTGGATTACTGTTAAATATATAATTACTTCAATATGTGGATAAAGTAAACTCCAAGATGGTATTAAGATTTGGAACTTCATCTGATAAAAGACATCATATATTAGTACCAATATTGTTTTAAGAAAGATGTTTCAATATTTTAAAATTTGAATTAAATAGACGGTAATCTCTGTCTTGGCTTTAGCTGGAGTAAAGTGTGGGAGATAATGATCTCTGACAATTCTGTCATCATTTTAAAATTTCAAAGACCCACAGAAGGAAAAAAATCAATAAGCCTAGCCTTCATATTCACTTTAATCAGAATAAAAGATTAAAATTATTTTAATAGTTTGGAGCTATGAATTTTTAATAATCACTAAATCATTAAAAAAACATCATAAAACCATCTTTACATGTTTGGCCCATTTAAGGTTGTTTAGTCCAAAGCTGACAAAAACATGTCCAACATATACAGGATTCCCTTCTCCAAAACAGGTAAGCCATTTTCAACTATTTTTATTGAACAGCAAGACAAAACAACAACCCCCACCCTCCATTAAATAAGCTCACCCCTTCAAGCTATTTTACAAAGGGAAAGGGGAGCCAAAGGCTTGGCTTTGTCTTGATGAGAACCTATGTAACTAGAATCAAGCTCACCACCCTCACATCTTTTCCTTCCACTGCAGGTCTTTTCTCCCTTAAGTTCCTAACAACAGTGGTCACTAACAGCTGAAAAAACAATGGAGCAACTATTCTATTACTCTCCTTTTAAAATAAAATTTACAGCAAGCATGAAACAAAAAATAAAAACAGGGCCAAGATCACTCAGCAGTGAACAGTTCTCAGACTACAAATAAATGACAGCATCAGAACTTTCCGCTAAACTTGCAGGGCCTATTTGTTCTTTTTTATGGTCTATAAAATCTATCCGAGCATACATTTACTTATAATTACTTCAAATAGTCATAAAATATCAACAGAAAGGACAGCATGGAAATGCAATACAGAATGCAACTCTTCAGAAGGGAGACACAGCAGCATTTATTTAGTGGGCTCTTTCATCTGTAACGCCTCTCTCAATCTCTCCCTTTTTCATGGCAGGTAGGTACTGACTGCTTTGAGAAATTGCATACAAAACAGTTCTTTTGCTTTGGATAAGGTTCCTTAGCCATCTTTTTGCTCTAGAGATGATTGGGGGGAGGAGGTTTAACTGCTTTAGGGTCAGCATTTTCAGCTCCATCACAGGCTCCTGCATAATGACTAGTTTGTAGCATACACCCAGAAATATCTAGGCTTTATCAATTTATAATGACAATGCACACTTTGCCTGTTAGAGGCGGTAAAGTAAGACTCCTGTCAAAACGTCAAGACAATGTAGAGAAGAACTGCTCTCAAAGATGTGGCCCTAAGTCATGAAGTGTGTGAGTTAGCAAGTAACCCCATACTCCATCTCCACTCAGGAACTGCAGAGGTCTTCCTAAAAATTAAAAAAAAAAGAAGCAAACAAACAAAGCCATTTCCCAAGGGCTGAGATCAAAAGATGCAGTCATGGAGAAAGATTCTCTATTTTGGGGAAAGATCATCTACAAATGGTGTGACTGTACTTTCATGCCCCTGATGGAAAATGCTAAAGGATTTGTGGTCTCGAGCTTTCATTTAATCATTTTTTTAATGAATCAGACATAAAGGACTCACCATGCAAGGCAGCTTCCTTCACACCAGGACTGTGTGAATCTGCAGCATACTCTCCAGTTTATAATAAAGGAAATGAGATCTGCTGAGGCTGAACTGAGAGAACCATAGAGCCATATGGGTGCTGAGCCACATGATATGGATCCAGATATAAAGCATATGGCAGTCCACCTGAAAAGAGCACTTGCTAGGTTCCCTGATCTGAGAAAGAACCCCTGCATTTCAACAGCACCACTCTTCGAAGACATCTCTCAAAATGGGCCCTCTTTTTGTTTTTTAAAAAATTCACAGTAACTACCTCAAGTTACACTGCAACAAGTTGTCCAGATAAAAGGGAACCTTACAAGACAAGTCCTTTGGGTTGAATGTAATGATGACTATATACCGAGATACTGAAAGGAGACTTATCCTCGAAATTCTTGAACTAAAGCAACTTAATTTTGTAAACCTCTAGTCCCAAGTTCTTAGGCCTTTCACAGGGCAGCAAGAAAAGCTTCAGGAACTCCTTTCCAATCCTGTCACAGGATCCTAAGGCAACCAATACTCTAGAGTAGCCCAGTGAACATGGCCCAACCTAGCATTCCAACTTCAGTTTCATGAAGTTTGAAAAAAAGTAGTTTGACACAATCGACACTTAATTTTCACCCCAACACTTCTGAAGGTATCCACTGGTACACTAAGAAAAAAAAGTTCCCATGAAACTTCACGAAGACATTATCTAACGTTCCAAAGCTACTAATTTAAAGTCTTAGCTATTTTACTACCAGCTATTACACCTTTTGTTAAGATTTCAGTTCGGTACCCCAAGTGACAACGTTAAAATGCAGCTTTTACGTGAATTCAAAATTAAGCCTTCTCCTTCAATGTCATTTTTTCCCCCATTACTAAAAGACCTCCCAGATTTTTTAGCACGGCTGCTATGAATTAAAAAGCAAAAATTTCTCGGTACAGTTGAGTGGTATTAAATTTCAGAATTCTCCAGATCAGGGCGTTGAGTACTCATAAACACGAGACAAAACGGCTTCCAAGGACAGAAAACCTACCCAATCTTTTCAATTCTGGAAAATTCTTTGTCTAGGCAAACTTAAAATAAGTGCTACTTATTTGTAAGGAGTGTTCTGGAAAACAGGAGTAGCCAGGCATCACATGCTAGAAGGCTCAGGGTCAGGTTTCCTTCCTCCCTTAAGTGCATTCTTGAGCACTGCGTGGGCAGGGGCCGTGCAGGCTTCCACACCGCATCTGTCAAGCTAGGAAGGCAAACCACACAGCGGGCCACAAAGCACGACTTCGTCAGCGTAGGCAAAAACGAAAGAAACCCCGTTCAATTAAGTTCAAGTTCCTCCGGAATTCATCGCAAACTCGGGTGCAAATCTTTCCACTGCCTGCGATTCCCGGGCCTAGCCGCCACCCCAGCTGCCGAGCCGCGGCAAAGGCCCAAGTCTGCGCTCGCTGGCGGCCAGGGCGGCGAAACCCGATCCCGGGTGGCCTCGGTTCAACACCCCAGCGGAGAGCCTGGAAGCCCGGGACGCTCGCTCCGCGCCCAGCTCCGCCCGCCTGGGTCCGATCAGTGGCTATTGCGGGCGGAGGCGAAAGGCGACCCGCAGGACCGGGCGCGGCGGCGGGCGTCCCTGAGCTGCCCCACTGGGGCCAGCGCCACCCGGCCCGAACAAAGCCCGCGCGCGCGCTGCCCGCTCCCCACCCGCCCACGCCTACCTGCGTGGAGCAGCCCGAGGCTGAGCAGCAGCAACAGTAGCAGCAGCGGCGGCGGCGGGCAGAGCCCGGGACTGCGCTGCTCAGCCCCAACAGCGGCGGGGGCGGCGGCGCAGGAAGGTGCTGATCTCACGCCCATGCCCGTCCATGCAGGTCTCGTGCGCTGCGGCGAGGGCGGCGGCGCGGGCGCCGTGGCGGGGCCCGGGCCGTGGCTGCGGCATGGGCCGGGGGACTCTCCTCGCTTCCTCCTCTTCCTCCTTTCAGGGCAGCGAAGAGCGGCCGCCACAGCCGCAGTAGGCCCGGCGCCGCGAGTCGGCGGCGGCGGACGCGACAGGGCGCAGAGACATCGCGGCGGCCGCAGACGGCGGGCGGGGAGACAGGGGCGGAAGAGAAGACACAAGGATGGTGAGCGAGCGCCGAGACCAGAGGCCAGCGCACGGCCGCCTCGGCCCCGGCCAGCGTGAGCTCTGGGGCTGCGGATCTGCAGGACTCGCACCGGCGTCGGCAGGCAGCGGGCAGCGGCCCCGAGAGTCGGCTAGGCGGCCTGTGCGGTCAATCAATCTCAGCCCCGCACTGCCGCACCGCCCCTCCCGGATCACGCCAATCCGCGCAGGCTCCGCCCCCGAGCCCACCCCTCCTCCCCTCTCCATTGGCTGCGAGTACTCCGCCCGCCCCCGCGCCTCCGTCCGCCTCCCTCCTGCTCGGCGTAACTCAAGTTCCGTGTCCGCCGCCCTTGGGTCGGTCGTAGTGCTGCGCCCGGGCCCAGTCTCCCGCCTGCTTCCTGGTGCTGTCCCAGCTCCACCCGCTTCCGCGATCGCCGTTTCCTCTCACCCAATAGGAAAGGGCGATAGCAACTTTCACTCTGTACGCTTTCCGAGAGAACCGGCCTTTAGCCTCTCCTTGAACTAATGAGCCCAGGTTTAGTCCCCTCCTAGCTTTTTGTTTGTTGTTTATCTTTAATCTTTCCCTCCTCCGGGCTTAGTCCGGGTCGGCTCCGGCCTCTTGAGGCCGAAAGCCAGCGCTTTTCCCGTGCTTGGTGCAGCGGGTTCCCCGTCAGCCAATCACATCTGTGGAACCTCGTAACGAGCTTGTTGGGGCCTTAAGGTAAAGCCTGAGCGGAGCCGGGCTGCGTTAGGCACTCAAATGACACCTACGGCCTACAGCAGATGGGTGGAATGAGAAACTGCGAGCTCCCGGCGAAATTTGCTGGCAGCTGTGTGGGCCTCCGGTGTTCTTGTTTCTTTGACATTTTCTCTGCCTCTCAGCAGAGAGCGAGAGTCTGAGATTGGGCAAACTAAAACGTGTTGGGTTACAATGTAATTAGATTAATGAGAGTAGTGAGTTTTTATGCAGTGCAATTATGCCACGATTTCTTGTTGCGCAGTGGCTTTTCCACAAACTTCCAGTGTATTAAATAAATCAGTGGCAGGTCAGTTTCTACTTGAGTTTTCCTCCAAAAAGGAGGGCAGAATCCTACAATCTGTCTCCAAGGAAAAGGGCTACAAAATGGAGACAAAGGAAAGCAGTGCAGGAATTGATGATGGGATCTAATTTGTTATCAGAGTTTGTGAAGTGGTGCAGTCTCTCAAGACTGGCCTCAGGGCTAGGAGCCACTTTACTTTCCTCACCTCTATCATTCCCCAAACTGCTCAGGGCTGCCTTTTAAAATCCACTTATTGTACATCTAAATTATAGTTTGCAACTTTACCCACTAAATTACTCAGAATCTCTAATTAGGAATCTCATATCAACCACAGACACGTTAATATTCCACTTGTTACAATGTGCTAATCAATGGACCAGGATAATTGGGGAACAAGCCTTAGGTCTTACCAGCTTACTCATTAGACACATTGTGAATTGCTCATACCACTAAGTCCCTAATGAAGGAGACCTATCGGTTTTTACTGTATTTTTTCATTACTTATTACATGCTCCGATGACTCACGTGGTAAACACACCTTTCACTACCCACGATGTAATTCAATCCTCGTGTCTATCTTTAATATGCTTAATAATACCTTCAGAGTTGCCTGGAGAAATGAGTTTTGGGGGGAGGGGTGGAAGGTATCTAACATTTTTACATGGTGATGTGTCCTAAATACTACCAGAGCAATTTTTTTTTTTTTACTATCTTGTAATTCCTATAATCCATGAAATACAGTTCGGAAAATACTAGTATATGTCTGGTAAAGACAGTTTTTAAAAGAGCCTTAGCTAACAGACTAATAGCAAAATGTAGAGTTTTCTTTAAACAAGATTTAATGAGATTCCCTACAAAGGCACCTCATTTTATCGACTGCCCTTCATATAACCAAAAGTTAAAGATCAATAAATTCAATTTGGTTTGGGTCTTTCTAGTTCTCTACATAGTCCTCTGACACTAGATAGACTCTTTTAAACATTCTTCTGCTCTAGATATGCTTATCAGTAGAGGGCATCCTCGAGCCACCACAAATCCCAGTGTCGGGAACCAGAACTGTTCTTCAGAGGAAAAACTTCATTTCTAAGGTGCTTTATTGCTTCTCTGTTGTAAAATCTGACAGGCTTAAGATTTATAAGCCTGACAATTCACTTTTTATTACTGCATAAGTGTTCAGCCGCAGGAGGAAATGCTAATTTTCACAATTAAATTGCAAGGTGGTTCCTATTTTCATGACATTAGGTTGGTTGACACACTTTGGGGTGATCAAGACCATGTTGAATGGTCCTTTATAGGGTGGCCACTCTTCAAGCTTGGGTGCTGCAAGTTTAAGGATTTTGAACGCTACAAAGAAAAATCTAGGGAGGGAGCTAGGACACAAACTTGACAATTATAAAAGTTTTACATTTTAATCAGGAAATAGGTGATTGGCAAGTTGAGCAACCCACAATCTACCTTGTGTCTTGCCAATTGCGTACCTTCTCTTTCTCTTTGTTTTCAAGAAGGAATGATGAGACCAGAACAGTACGTTCAGAAAACCCAGCAAAGCAAACCGTGCAATGGGCATGCAAGTGAATAAAATTAAAAAGCATGCCACAAACGTTATTAGATTCTAGACACGGCCTCGGTTTCATTTCCTGAACTCATACATGGATGTCTTAACTGTTCCCTAGTTACTGTATCTCCATTTCCGGAAACCTAACACGAGCATCTCTGCTTAACAGATCACCCAGGACAGAGAAGCCAGCAATCAACTATTTGTGCAACCCTAAAGTAAGGGCCCCCCTGCTGGACCCTGTTCTACAGTGTTCGCAAAGCAGGGGTTGAAATAGCCCGGAATCCAACAACCCAGCGGCAAGCAGCTTATGGTTTATACTTACATCATTTTTAACCCTTCCTCTCCTGGAAGGGGCTCAGTGGGATCAGGGTGTCCCCGAGTTCCGGAATTCGCAGGACCTAGGTGTGAGAGAAGAGCCCCAGGGCTTGGAGTGAGCGCTGAGCCCCAGGAGGGAGCGAGCAGCGAGAGTGCAAGGGGTTCATCACTAGCGCTCACGCTAGCGGCCGCGATATCCCTGTGGACTCCAGCGCGGCTCGCAGGGCGAGAAGCGGCAGGTGCAAAAAGCATTTGGGAGCCACTTGCCAGCGCGCGGAGGTAATGCGCTTCCTGTCCATTTATCTCAGGAAACCAGCGCAGCCTTCCCTCGAAACAAAATTAACCTCTCATTAGCCAGCCACTCGGTCCCAAGAAGGCCTTAAAAGCTTTACCCTCTCGCTAATGTATTTAGACTGTTCTTCCAGGCAAACGCTGCAGAGGCTGTGACTAACAGCTCGGGGCCGGGGGGGGGGGGTCCTCTGAGCTCCCCCAGGAGCTAGCCGCCAGCATCCCACCAGCCTGGCCACGGAAACCAGCTAACCCAGGATCCCAGTTTGTAGAAGCAAGCCGACCCGCCAGCCCTGAACAAACTTCACGCCAGAACCCCCCCCCCCCCCCAGAACAAGTTTCCTTTCATTTCTTGGGCGCCTTTCTACATCAAGCCCTCAGCTCCCCTGTCCTCAAGGGATGGGGAAGGGCAGCTGGAGGAAACTTAAGTGGCCGGCTGTCCTGGGTCATGGGCGCTGACAGTTTCTTGGGAAGGATCCGTGCCCGGCCTGGGGGTAACGTTAGTTTGAATCTAGTGAGGTCCAGGCGAGGAGAATTGGTTGAGTCCTAGGTCTTCGAGTAGCCCCCACCGCCCTGAGCCTGGCAGATTTATGCCACACAGGTGGACCAAGACCTAAACCAAACAGTCCCGGCCGCTGCCTGCCGCTCGCCCCCCACGTCCTCCTGGCCCACCGCAAACTTTAACAAAATAAACAACTCACCACAGGCATTCCCTTGTCTGCAGCGCGACGCTTGCCAGCTGGGAAAATACGCCGCAAGCCACGCGGCCGGCGCAGGAGGAGGCCGCGCCCGCCACCGGCCCAGGTGGGCGGCGGGAGGGCGGCTCCGCCCGGGGCAGCTGTCCAGACGGCCGGCTCCGGGCGAGCTCCCGCCCGGACTTGCACCCTGCCAGCCACCCAGGGGAGAGGGCGGGGAGACCAGTCCCTCTCCCCAACTTCCTCCAAACTGCTTTCTTCCCACTCGTGGCCAGCAGTCCCCCCAGCGCCACTCCGCCCCCTGACGGCGCTGCCGGGACGGTCCAGCTCAGCGCCAGGCCGGGAGTGCGGGAGTCGCAGCCAATGCCTCGGGGTCCCAGCCCGGCTCGCTCTCCTCTCCCGGGCCCTACACCCGGCCTTTCACAAAGACGCCTTTCACGTCGCCAGCGCCGCCCTCCGCGCAGCCTTCAGACCCGCCGGCCTGCCTTTGCCCACCCGCGGCATCGTGGATCCCGGTGGGTGACTTCGCCACCATCGCCCGGGTAGGGCAAGGGCAGCTGGCACACTGCCCTCCTTCCCCTTCTAGGCTTTCTGCAGCTGCACCAATGCTCCCCAAAGGCACCCTCTCCGAGGTCTCCTTTTGGGGCCTAGGACTTGGCAGGAATGGTCCTCTGGACGTGTGGGGACGTAAAGAATCCAGGGATTGTTCCTGACCACCTGAGGTGCCAATGTGACTTTCACTATGTAAGAAAACCCAGGATAAAGATGTGGGACTAACAACGGAGGAAAGGATAGAAAGAAACCCCTAAGACCCAGAGGAGGAAGTGTATTGTAGGAAGTGTACTTGAGGACCACAGTTTTGCCATCACCATGGAAAGGGAGGGGGAGGGGAGAGTGAGAAATATTCTCGAGAGTGGAACATGAGCTTCGCAGATACTCAGCGACAGCTATTTAGCCCGCCGTCTCTAAAACAGCGTACGGATTTCTAGAGAAGCCAAAAATTCATGCATCTAGACTCAGGTCATTGTGACCCTCCCCAGCGGCTCATCTTCTCTTTTCACCCTTCCTTGCAGTTTCCCCATCTAACGCTAGAGGCAGCATAGGGCAGCGTAAAAAGGGCGGGACTCCATCTGATTTAACAGGGGGGGGGGGGGGGGGATGGGGGGGTGTCACTGTCAAGAAAGATGTTGAAGGTTAAAGACCCAGTTCCTCTAGCTCTGAAATTCGATGACAGGAGACCCCTCTTCTCACCCTTTGCAGTCTGGCCTTTTGTTTTCCATCTTCTCTTATCTTCTCTAAGTGCCAATCAAAATGAAAAAAAAAGAATACTGAGACCATTTAAAGTAATTAATACACTGAAGCGTTCTCTCTCTCTCTCTCTCTCTCTCTCTCTTTCTCTCTCTCTCTCTCTTTTTTCTCGTCTTTTTGAGACAGGGTCTCCCTGTAGCCCCAGCTGGCCCGGAACTCACTATGTAGACCAGGATGGCCTTGAACTCACAGGGATCCGCCTGCCTCTGCCTCCCGAGTGCTGGGATTAAAGGCCACCACGTCCTGCTAAACATGCTCTTTTTAATGTGGAGAAGTTTTGGAAAGGTCCAAGTTCCTGGTCCACAGAAACAAGGAATTTTAATGTCCCCACTTGCTTTGCCTTTGAAAAGCCACTTGAGCAATCAGCAAAGCAAAGCTTTGATTTAGAAACGAAAGGCTACTCTCCGGTGTTTTTCCTTTCCCATCTACCAACACAAAGACAAGCTGCAGCATAAAATAATGATGAAAAAAGAGTTCAAAGCAAGCCCAGAGAGCCAGCCCAGAAGACCTTTTCTAATGCAGCCCCAGCTCTTCACTCTTTTGCAAAGCTACCTTAGGACTGCACATAAACACAGGCATAGGCTGCCACAAAACCTCCTTCCACCAACCCATTTTCTATAAATATTGGTCAATGCAAACTGTATGCCAACTTGCCAATCATTATGCAACTTGTTCCTTCAAATCATACATTTAGCTTTTCCTTAGTCTCAGTGATATTTTTCAGGACCTTAAATACACTACCCACTTTGGAACCTAGTTCTCCCTGTGGTCAGCTGTGTCTTTTTTTTTTTTTTCCTTTGTAGAATCTGCTCTGAGTTTAGTGCATAAAAGAATGAAATTTCATTATGAAGTGCTACTTTTAAACAGCAAATCTCTTGTCTGATTTTATCAGCAAAACTTAAAAATTACCTAGCTTTCACTAGCAATACACACTTTAAAAAGAAAACCATTAAAGATAATTTCTTTTAGCTGTTCAAATTTATGGGGTAGAGAGCCCTGACAATTTGATGCACATATGATTGTTTAGTGATTAAATTATGGGAGTTAACATTTCCATTTCTGTTAACAAAACTCTGATTAACCTGAAATAGTTGTACATATTTATGGGTTATAGTTTGAGATTTCAATACATGCATGCAGTATATACCAATCAAATCAAATCAGGGTAATTAATGTTTCCATCTCATTATTATTTTCTGTTTAAATACTCCTCTTGTTAGGAACTAAAATTTTCTTTAAATAATAGTAGTGGGAAAATGTTGTGAATTTTAAAAATTTTGTTACTATTAGTTGAAAATTTTAATTTACAAATTGAGATTGTACATATGATAGCACAATGTTTTGAAATAAACATTGTGGAATGTCTATATTAACATATAGTTGATATACTTGGCATTTTTGTGTGCGATGAGAACATTTACTGTCTACTCTCAGTGATTTTCAAGAGCTCAATACATTGTTATTAGCTATAGTCACTATGCTGTACAATAGTCTATTGCTTTTATTTACATCAATTTCAACACTCAGACTGTATCAGTCATGTACACTAAAACATTTACATATCTCTTTAGACTTTGAGTGCTCCATTTAGTAAAAGGGACTTGAGGGGTTTTTTTCTTCCAAATTCTTTATCTTGCCCAATGCAATACAATCCTTCTCCTCTCAACTCATTCTGACCTTTTTTTTCTCCTTACACTGGCCCAAATAAATTAAATATGGGAGCAGAAAAGGGATAAGAGGGCTGGAAAGCTAGTTCAGTTTGTTAGGGGCTTGCTTTATAAGTACAAGGACCCAAGTTTG